TATAAGTAATCTAGAGATGACTTCAAGGTTGGGGAGGATGTCATAGGTTATACGCAAATACTATGCCATTTCACATCAGGGACTTTGAGTATGCATGGATTTTAGTAACCACGGGGGTCCTGACACCAATCCCTGCAAATACCGGGAGAAAGGCTAAGAGCGTGTATTTGTAACACTTTGGTTTGCACATCAGGTATCTCACTAAGCTCTTCACTTGCAGTGACAACTTTAATCTTTGCAGATGAGGATACTGCAGAGGTTAATAAGAGAGGAGGCCAAGGTCAAAGAGCTAATAAGCAGAGGCACCGTCTGAGGACAGGTCTTCGGCTCCAGGATCCCGCTCTTAACCACAATCCAGCTACCGTCTTGTCTCCACCAGCAAATCAGGTTTCCAGCAATTTCAAACACAATGGCATCCCAAAACTTCTCACAGCAACTCTTCAAAATAAGAATTCATTGTAACAGGATGGGTGCCAAGTGTTCCTAGCTTCTCATTTTTCCCTTTGCTTTCCCCAGATAACAGAAACATTTACTGGCTAGGAAAACACGAACGCGTTTTCTGAACACTACCTAGGAAGAGTGACAGGTGGCACTGTTCAAAAACCCTGTTCCCTTATTAGAGAGAAAGCCAAAATCTGACCTTTCGCCTCAATCTGATCACAATGAGCGTTTCCGCTTTTGACGCAAACACTCCCCTCTCCTCTGCGTAACTTCTCGGTAGGCGAGTCAGGCTTTCCTCCCCCGCCTCTCACTGCACGTTCGCGGGCTACACAATTCGGAGTCCTCTATGACCAGAGGAGTCAAGAAAACACCACCAAAAAAGCAAAGCAAAAAACCTCAAAGATCTCATTTAATCGTTTAAGCATTCTAAACTAACATAGTGCTAGCGTCTTTTTTTCTCGAGGGCTTCTCTTTCCAGTTTACACATCGCAGAGGAGGCAGCGGCCACGGGAGAGCGCACAGAGCGGGCTCCCCATTGTGACTCCCGCGGGCCGGAACCAAGTCCACTCGGCCCGAGCCGGGACGCGCAGGCGGGGCCGCGGCTCACACCCGGCAGGCAGGCAGGGCCGCCGGCCGGCTCCACCGCGGGGCGCACGGCGGACGCCGGGACGCGCCGGGGTCCGAGCCCGAGCCCCGCCGCCCGAGCGGGGCCCCCGAACTCACGTTTGTACTCGGCCATCAGCCTCTTGAGCGCCGTCCCCGCCATGGCCCGGCAACAGCTGCGCCTGGCGGCTTCGCCTCATCCGCGCCCGTCGCTCTCGCCCCGACGCCGGGGGCTGCTTCCGGGTCGCCGTCGCGCGCACAGAAGCCTCTCCGGGGCGTGGCGCGGAGCGCATGCGCGGTCGCCGCGGTGTGCGCGCGGGCGACGGGAGCAAAGCTGACGGCCGAGGGCCTGGCCCGGGTTGGCGCGGTCCCGGCAACTCCGGAGGCCTCAGGCCCCGGGTCTTGTGGAGGCTTCGGCCGGGCGAGTGTGTCCGCTCACTGCCCGTGGGCGGGCGGGCGGCACCGGGGAGGGGGCTGCGCCGGAGCCCGGACCCCCGGACGGCCGCGGCAGGCTCGCACCGAGCGCCCCGACGCCCCTGCTCAGGTTTCAGGCTCGAAAAAGTGACCAAGTTGGTGGTCGTAGCGCTTTCACTCCTTGTTAGTGCGACTCAGCGGTAGTTCGGGTTCCAGAACCTTCTCGTGGGCGAGCCGCGGTGCTTGGTTTGCTCAGGTGGGCACCGGGAAGTGCGCGGAGGACGGAGTGCGGCAGTGGAACCCTAGTGACCGTAAGGCCCGCGGGACGGCCGCGGAGCCCGGGAGAACGGAGTTGAAGTCCGGCTGCGACCACGAGGGCGGCGCAGGTCGGGCAGGGAGGGTGACGTTGGGGAAAACTCACCTCCCCAGACTTCGGCCAGACCCTGCGGAGATGCAGCAGCTGAGCCTGCGTTCCTGGCCCGCCCCGTCCCTGCAGGGGTCTCGGAAGTTGGTGGTTCGAAAGGAATTTATTACAGCTGTTGTGGCCCAGCTGCTCACGCCCCCTCCCCGAAACCCCCTGTAGAGGCCACCGCGCTCCCCTTTCTCGCCTGGACGCTCTTCTCGGCCTCCAGCCACCTGCACCCAGGTGCTCACGTAAACAGCGTTTACTACACCTGAGGCTTGTCTCCCTCGGCTTGGGACCTAACAGTGGGGAGACCCCGTCCGCCAGGCCCGCCGAGGGCCCCCCCCCCGTCTTCTCCAGCCCCCCGCCATGGAGCGAGCCCGTCGGTGCTGGGTCCGTGCTCCTTACTGACTCCAGGGAGGTACCACCTGGAGTGCTGCGCGTGCCCGGCGAGGACACACGCACCTTGCACAAAGTCGCTCTCCTTGCTTGCCAGGGTTGTTGCGACAGCCTCTTAATTTGTTGCCTCCTCCTCTCCCCTCCTTTGTTTCCAACATTCCAGATGATCCACTTAAAAGATGAATCAGGTCATAGTAACATCCCCGCTCCCCATTTTACTCGGAGCAGAGCCGGGTGGACAGTGGCCTTTGCTCTGCCTGGGCCCCACCCCAAGCCGCCCTCCTGTACCGTCCCCGCACCCCTTCCGCGTGGCCACCCGCACCCCGCTTTTCATTTTTCCCCACAGCACTTACCCAAAATACTATGCTACAGAATTCACTAGCACACTGTATAATTTATCTGTATTTGTTGTCTTTTATTTTTTTCATTTTTTATTTTCATTACCTGAGCTTTATTAACTTGGGAACTTTATTATCTCCTCTAACCAGAAAACATACTCCACGACAGCAGGGGTCTTTGATTCTGATGTGTCGCTGGGTGCAGCCTCAGTGCCCGGCCACGGCATGCTCTCCCTGAGTATCTGTCGAATGGAACGAAATCTAACAGTGTGAACCGCACAAATATGCATACTGTAGGAAAATTTCCTAAATTTCAAATTTTCAGTCCAACGCTTTTTTCAAATGACCAGTGATTTATAAAAATGACATGGTCCTTCAAGACACTTTCAAAGAGTAATTGGTTTGTGGAAATACTCGTGGAGTTTCCTTCCCCGTTCCAGAGCTGCCCTCTCCTCTGTGAGACTGCACCCCACACCCCCAAATCGGTCAGTGCCCACTGCTACTCCAGGAAAACAGCTCCTCTTTTCCAAGTATGGAAAATGTGGGTCGTAAAAGCATCGTTGCCAATACTGTGATGCTCAAAAGAATGGAGCCCAGCAGATGCTTGCTGTTTTCTTAATCGCATCAATCTTTTCCAGACATTGCCTTACTCATCGTAGAGCACTGTGTTCTTCAATTATTATTTTCAGAAATGTGGTTTACAGCTTGTATCAGGATTAGTTTCACCTTCGAGTGACAAAAATCCAAAAATACGTGCTGTTTAAACATAATGGAAGTTTCTCTCACCTCAACGTGGCTGGTACAACGGCCTTATCTTCAGAAAACCAGGACCTCTGCCACACTTCTTCCTCCTCACGGTTGTCAGTCCTTCATCTGAAACTCAAGTTTAACTGGGCATCCTGTATTTTTATTTATTTATGTATGTATGTGTGCGTGTGTATATATATATATATATATTTTTTTTTTAGAGATGGGGTCGCTGTTGCCCAGGCTGGACTTGAACTTGAGCCCAGGAGTTCCACCTCAGCCTCCCAAGTAGCTGGGGCTGCGGGCACACCACCACGCCTGCTCATGTGTTTTTATTTGCTAAATCTGGCAGCTCCCTGCTTGCATCACTTGGTACTGGGGGCCCAAGGGCTCTGAGGAGCACGTGTGTAATATTTAGTGGTTTTCCTAAGCAACACACCCTGGGAGGCCGACAGCACAGAATAAAATTAGTGTCTTATTTTTTGGCAACTAAAGTTCTAAGGTATAAAAGGGGTCTCACAGCTTAACCTAAGTTACATGGTACGGCTTTAATAACCTCCTGCTTCTCCAGCTGTGCACTTGTGTAGCACAGCTAAGGTGACAACCCAGTTTGCTTGGGACTAAGGAGGTTCCTTGGGCGTGGCCCTTTCATTGCTAAAACTGGGAAAGTTCCAGTTGGAACCCTAGGCACAGGTAACAAACAGGATAAATAGGGCCTAGCTCCTCCTGAAGCATCAATTTAACCCAAAAATTCTGGGAGTTAGCTTCATGTAATTTAATATTTTTAAAAAAACTAGTACCAACAACAGATGTGTTATTCCAAATGCACAATTTGCATAAATTTCTAAGATAAAAGACAACCTCCAGAGCACATCCCGTTTGTTCCACTGTCAGGTGCTGTGAGTGGAAGTTCCAGCGGCACTGTTTCAATGTACCCACGTGAACTGGCCACTGTTCTGACTCAGGCACCTGGCTCGCAGCCCTCTCCTCAGACGGGTGCAGGGGCTCCCTGCCAGGTGTCAGCAGCCCTTCCCTGGCTCTCTGGCAAACCCCCTCTTTGCACTGTGCACACACTCGTGGGTGCCAGTGGGTCAAGTGCTGTTTCTGAGGCTGCCCTTGATCTTTCAACTTGTGCTCACTCAACTGACGGACTAACTACAAAAGCCCACTTTCAACCCCGATGTTGTCACAACACGGTATACTGGGAAATTCTTAAAGCCAAATTAGAATCAGTTCACTCCAGCTTTAAGGCAGATAAACGAGTAGGCTGTCAGTTGCAAGCGGAAAACACTCCCATGCCAGCACCAGGAACAGCGGAGAGGCCCCGGACTAACGTCCAGACTCACAGCCTCCAAGACCCGCCCTCTTTTACACGTGGAACCCCAGAGGAAGAGCAAAGGTCCTCCCTCCCCGTGCGGGTGCAGGTCCCTTCACCAGGAGGGCCCGGTTAGGAGAGGGGACGCCCTCCCGGCTGGGAAGATGCCAGCCCAGCACTGGTGACCTGCAGAGGGGCAGGGGGCCATCGGTGAGCAGGAACCTTCCAGTGACTAGCGTGTAGGTCACAGTTCCTTAATGGCCTTGCCGAACGGTCCCCACAAACACTGACGTGTGACAGTGTGCCCTAGCCCTCAAATGCAGAGTTCAGTGTGAGCCGAGACAGAATACCAAACTATATTTACTGTGTACAGTAGGAAAGGACAACGAATAATGTACAAATTGTGAATAAACAGCAGAGCTAACACACCCCACCCGAACCCACACAGCAAAACAGAGGAACTGAGGACATTTTCAGCAAGATTTCCAGCAAGCAAGAGATGATGGGTCATCAGTCAGGTGACTATAAAAAAGGCAGAGAACGGCCACTGAGCGGCAGTGGGTCCTTTCGGAAGAACAGGCAGAACGAGGAACATTTTTAATTGGCATAGATCCCCAAAATGTCACAGGACTGATCACCACAGTAACGCGCAAGTTCAGGATGTGTTTGGAAAGCCGCACGGCACAGACCCGCGAGGAGAGAGCAGGCACGAGGTCCTCTTCCCACGGGTCGGTAACCACGCTTGGCAGTAGCTCTTTACACAACAACGTAACTGAAAATTCAGCACTACTTAATCTTACCTTTTTATGTATAGAACATAATTACTCATCAGAAGCAAATACTAGAAGAAACCTGAGGCCACAACACCATCACCAAATGAGAAATGTGGGAATTACTGTCTTCTATATTAAGAAGAGGGAAAAAGTCGATTTTTGTTGTGCCGACCCTTGTCAGACACTGATGGGGGGGCCTCGGACCCCAGGGGGACACGCAGGAGCAGGGAGCACGTGGGGCCACGTTACCAAAGGGCTGTTATTTTCTACTTTTTAACAAGCAGTCCAGTATTTTCCCCTCAACTTTATCACAAGCTGACCAAGCTTAAATTTGCAATATTTAGCATTTTAATAACCTGTGCCTACAACAAATAGCCAGTGACACTCTGTCTTCCGTCCCCACCACTGCGGGACGCCTGTCCGACAGACCCACGCCGCGTGCACACGAGCGCTGTGTGACTGGAACCGGCGGTGGAGGGGCAGCCCACACCAGAGCAAGTTCCTGTCCACGGACTAAACGAACATTCAGGCCACAAATCTGGGGCAAAAAATGCTATAGGTAGAGGGGGAAAAAAAGAAAATGAAAACATTAACAAACCCCCAAAACCCGGCAACTCATTTCTCCTGAACAAAGATAACAATTCTGATTGGCCCAGTTTAAGTCGCAGATCCGTCCCCGCAGACACAGTTTTGAGTTGCACTCGCAGGAGGTCAGAGAGGAAAATCGTTTTGGTGAATGCCCTCGAGATTCCGCAGACTCCTCCGTGCTGGCGATCACGTGTCACTACTCAACGGCAATGCAAGGAAGGGCAACCGGCACGAGGACGGTCCCTCTAGAGGCCACGCCCAACAGGCGGCTGGTCTCCCGCGCGCCCCCGGTCTGCTGCTGGAACACGTCGATGGTGTCCTCGTCCTCCATCTCCAGCTGTCAGCCATCGCAGGCACGGGAGAGAGAAGGGAGCACGTTAGTTTCTCGTCAGAGGAAGGATCGTGCTAACTGCAGTGCGTGTTCCCTGAGCCGCTCCCCTTCGCCAGGGACATCGCCTGACCACGCCCTGCCCTGGTCCGACCCTGCGTGCAGCACTCGGGAACAGAGGTGTCGCTGCACACGTAGCCCCGACTGGTTCACCAGGCTTCCCTGGACAAAACTCTTGAAAGAATATCCAAAGTTACAAATGTTAACCGATAAAAAACTGAGTGTAAAATACAAACTGTAATGTCTAAAATTCTTACTGAAAATCACACAAAATCAGATTCTAATTAAGAACATCCCATTAGCGGCCTAATTCTAAGGACCCGCAGGAGCCGCGCACTGTGTAACAAGCGCAGGGGATCGGGCCTGGGACATCACAGCCAACGAGATCTCACAAGAAGGGCCCAAGCGTAAGGTATCCCCAAAGGAAGGGACCCACCACGGGCTTCTCCCACCTCTCCCTCCTCCAAAGTCCAGGCAGACATGGTGCAAACGTTTCCCACGCGCCTCTCCCGCACAGTGGGCACAAAGCCGTCTACCCCGGCCCTTTCCTCTGAACAGAGGAAGCTTCTGCCAATTCCTACAGAAACAGGAATGTTCTCAGAAACAGACAGGGAAGCCCTGCCTGCTCTCGGCGCCTCCCCCTGCTACAGAGGCACCTCGGCGGTAGCCCATGGGCGAGAGGGAGAGCCCCCCAGCTCCCGGAGCAAGTGTGCCTTCCCAGGCAGGCCGCTTCTGCCCCTGTCTGCAGCCTGCCCCGACCCGCTCCCGCTCAAGCCCATCTACCCCGCAAGGCCTCTTTGCCCTGTCAATCCTCACAGAGCCGACCACTCTCTCGGCAGTGTATGATTTCCTAAGGTGGCTACAAATCAAATATTTATTGCAAAATATTCCAACATTTATTAAATACTGAATATTAAATAAAGTATTAAATGTTTTGCAAAAGTATGTTCGTGTAAAACATTCCAATTGATTCCCACAACCTTGTAAAGGAGGAAAACAGGCATTACTAATATCTCCACTTTAAAGACAAACATGGGACTCCAAGAGACTAAGTGACTCTGGATCACAAGGCCATCAGGTGACAAATGACAAGAGCTGCCACCTGAACTTAAGTTAAAAGAATGTCTATTTCCAAGTCCAAAGCTCCTTTTGCCATGAGAGGCACAGTAACACGAGGGTGCAAATCTGAAATACTTTGGCGAGTGGGGTAAATACTTAGGAAAATGCCTGGGGGCAGTGAGGCGTGGTGGCACGGCCTCCCCCAGCCACTGCCGCAGAAAGGCGGGCACGAATCCGGCCAGTCCCTGGTTAACAGCTACACGCTGACTGTGTCGGGACCACGTGGGGGACGCGGCTCTGGCTGCGAGCACGGGCCCAGCACCCAGCCTCCACCAACACACAGCGAGGGGGGACGTCTGATAAAGCACAGTTTTCACATTTGAAAATTTAATTTTAAAGTTAATTAAAATCATTGAGAAAAAGTGAGGCATTCTATATGAGCACCAATCAACAATTCTCGAATAAGAATATCCCACCCAACGCAATTACCCGCATGCAGAGCAGGGGTAGCCCTGGACACCCACCACGCCGGCTTCCGTACCTGTGCTGGAGTGTCTGTTTCATTAATCGGTTGCCCGTCAAACCTAAATCTAATCTGTCTCATTGACAAGCCCTGAAAAGAAAAAACAATTACCGTTAAATACTTGCAGATAACATAGCTTAAGTCAAAAATGAAACGTTTATATCAAAATAGCAGCATCCCGGATTTATGACCAGTGGAATCTAGAAACTTGCCGGTGGCTGCGATCTGCCCCATGCGCTCGGACATCACGCTCTGACTCTCCATCCCTGGGGCCCTGACCCGCCCTGACCCATCCCTCCCATCTCCTTCCGGAAGCCGAGCAGAACCTCTATACCGCTGGCGCCACCATCTGCCCCTTCAGAAAATTCTCAGAGAGAAACAGGCCAGGGGACGGTGAGGGTCGTGAGGACAAGACTGTATACAGCTGGGACACAGTCACAACGGGGCCTGGAGGAGGGTGACGCTCCCCCCAGAGGGAGAACGTGCAGCCGTCCTGCGTCTCGAGGGAACGACTAAACCTCGGCCAGGTCAGAAACAGAATTTCATCCAACGAGCAGTTCTGATTTCACTGAAACAAGACAGGATTAAAACGTGCACCTCTGCTCCCTCCTGAAACCCCACTGAGATGACAGAAAGAGAGGAATAAGGACAAAGAGAGCAGGTGAGGGTGGCCCGCAGGCAGTGGGCATCGGCTGCAGAGCCGCGGTCACTGCTGGTCTGACAGGCGCGAGACCCGAGGGCTTGGGGCAGAGGGGCTGGGCGCACCAGGCCTGCAAGGCAGAGATTCCCAACAACTGCCCGAAAGTCCACATCCGGCCTCCCAGGGCAGGGTCCCCATGACCCTGAGAGGCCAGGGAACGTCCCTCCCGCAGGTGGCACACGGGAGGTCTACTTTCTGGAGAGGTGGACGCCGAGCTCTGGGCTCAGGACGCCAGGGACGGATCACCAGCCAGTGAAAGCCAGTGTCCCCAAAGCCACCGCCAAGCCCCCCCACCCCCAGATGAGCCCCCAGGATGCTGGCTGGAGCCTGGGGAATCCACTCTCAGACCGCAGCTTCCAGGCCCCTCCCGAGAACCCCCAATCCAGGCGGTCACCCCACGTGGATGCACAGCATGCCCACATGCCCACCCACGTACACGGCTCCTCCTGGCTGCAGTGTGTCACGCTCACGTGTGAGCAGGGAGATCACACCAGGGAGGGAGGGAGGAGCGAGAGGAGAAGAGGAAGGGGCAGGAGACGCTGCATCACACGTGCACGCTCTGACACATGCACGCGCATGGCCCGAGTTCTGGGGCAGGTAAGAAGAAACACCACATCCAGAAAACACCAAGTTGCTTCTGAGAAAAGAGGAACACTCAAAAGAATAGAAAGAACGAGAACTTTTGGAAGTGAAAAGTCATGACGATAAGAACGTGCACAGCACGTGGGGAGACAAAGCGGAGACGCCCCCCACCCCTGCCCCGGGGAAGGAGACCAAAGCAGCCGCAAAACCCACCGCAAACTGGGAGGAAAATCATGAAATTTAAAATATCTAGGACAGTTCACCACAGGAGGAGCAGGAATTCCACAAAGAAGGAACAGAGCCCAGAGGACAGACTATCGGGGAACTGTTCCTACACAGAAACAAGTCCCCAAGCCGAAGGGCTGTGAGTGACGGAAGCACCTGCTTCTCGTGAAACTTCAGGAAACGTCCCAGAAGCTTTCAGAGAAAAACCTAGTTACATACAAAGGACAGAGAATCAGAATTATTGAACTTTTCACCGTTAACACTGGAAGCTAAAAGAAAATGATACAGTAAGTTCCACAAAAGAAAATGAGTTTCCATCTAGAATGCTGCACGCAGCCGAATATTGAAGCGTGAGGGGTTCATACAAACCAAAAGTCACTCTCAGACACGCCACGTCTCAGGACGCTGCACTTTACACGCCCTTTCTGGCGAGGGACTAGCGCATGTGCTCCGCTCCGTCACAAGAGGGGCAGAAGGTTAATCCAGAGGACAGCAGGAAGGAGGCTAAGAAGTTCCCAGAGTGACTCTGGCAGGAGGCTGCGGGACCACGGCTGTGCAGCTGCCTCCAAGGCCACCGGTGCAGACAGGGCACGGGGGCGTCGGGAAAGCAGAGACCCGGGCTGTGTGGGTGGCCTCTGGGGCCTGCCGACACGGCGGGGATCCCACGGCATGGGGAGAACATGGGGTGACGAGTTAGCCACGGGCACCCAGGAAGCCACCAACCCAGTAAGCACCAAGACTCAGACGAGAGCCAGAGGGCAGCACGGTACCTCCCCACTCGGGAGGGCGCAGCACTGCGCCACCCACTCTGCTGGGAGGAACGGGGTGGGGGGGGCACACGGGGACAGCAGTGTCGGGAAGCTCACTCTCACCTTTCACAGGCAAAAATCAGAAGAAAGAGAGACAGGAGCACGCTGCTCACTGACAGCGCGGGAAAGGTCAGAGCCGGCAGGGGCTGCCTCTCCGGAGCAGGGGAAGGGGAGGGGAGGAAACCGCTTTCCGGAATCGTTTGTAACAAAAATCCAAGGCAAGAGAGTAAAACGAAAGGGCAGTCCACCGCCACGGCCCTGAAGCATTTAAGAAATGGTAGCCTCCGAGACGCGCCTTGAAATGCCGTTCCTCTGGGGGTTCCCTGGAGACGGCCCACGCTGCAGGCTGGGCGGGCCGCGGGCACGGTGGCCCCAGCACCCGACACTCCAGGCGGCATCCGCAGAGCAAAGCCGTCATGAGCAGCTGGCGAGGCAGCCACTTTCCAAGGCAGGTCCATCTGGGCACTACGCAGAGCAAGGCAGAGGGGGTCGGAGCAATGCGTGGGACGGAGTTCACGACCACACTCACAGCACCCGGGGCGCAGGGACCCGGCCGGCTGTGTTGGGGGACGCCAGTGAACCGGCTCACGGTCTCAAACTGACAGATTACGGGAAAGAATAGAAGAGTCTGGAAAGGAGTAAGAGGTCTGCATTAGAATGCGCCACTTGGCAGCCCCTAAGGAATGAACGCCGGGCGTCGATCCCAGCCCGAGCAGCCCAGCAGCGTGACAGAAGTGCCGAGCCCCCCCAAGGAGGACACTCCACCAGCCAGGAGGCTGTCTCGCGGAAGAAAAGCCACACGCAGCTGGGCAAGCCTCGAGATGCACCTGCCAAGTCACGGGACAGTGCGGACCAGAAACACCTTAACGGATGTCCAGGACACAACCCGTAAAACCCAGCCCGAGGCACCCCAGAGCCCTGCGCATCTGTCCCAGGAAGCGGGAGAGTCCCGCCCGCCCAGAGCGCACCTGCCTCTCGCAGTAGGCCTTCATCAGCTTGCTCAGCGGGGTGTGCCGCTTGATCTTGAACTGCACCACGGAGCCGTCCTGCCCCGCCACCTTCAGGTTGATGTGGTCATTCTCCGTCTTCACGCCCTCCTGCAGAAGACACAGAAATGGCTTCAAAATCGAGCCTCAAAATGCCCTCGATTTCAAAGGCAAGTCTTTTGGTAATTGTTGGGTTTTTTCAGTCCTCAAAACCAACCTAATTCCTAAAGTTCTCTAGCAATTCAGAGTTGCTCATGTGATTGTCTTATTTTTGCACAGAATTCATTTTTCACTTCTACCTCCTAAGCATCCATCCGTGTGTAAGAAAACGCAGTGCAAATCTAGAGTCCTCTCCCATCATTAAATCAAAGAAAAAAGTCTGTTTAATAAATCTAGGAAAAAATCAGAGAAAATCCATCTTTGTTTTAAAATTACTCTTATGAAACTAATAAAAAGTTACGTATGACTGGTAGAATAAAACAGAAAGCAGGCGTGCACGACCGAGAGGAACACGGAGTGCGGTGAAGACCCTGCACGAACTGTCGCAGACCGGACGGCGGCAGTCGGAGGCTCCTCCTCACTGCCAAAATCGGCAAACGTGAGAGGGAGCCGCAGTGTCTCCTTTCAGACGGTCCTATCTCGACGGTGGTAGTTCGCAGTATTTTTTATGTAATTAATGACACACTCGAAGCTGCTCAACAGCGTAATGGGTTTCCTGTTGCCTGGAAACACAATCTGTGTCGATGTCAAAAGTTTATGTCGAGGGGCAGGGAGCGGCTTTGGTGCAGCTCAGTCTGCAGAGCGAGGTGCCGCTCAGCCACCTGCACCAACAGGAACCTTGGGAATGAAGGAGCCAGAGTTTTTAATGGAACAATGCAGCAGACCCCCCTGGGCCAGGCTGAAAGCCGTCTGGACAGCAGCCTGCAGCTCACCCCTCTCCACTCAGCCTGTTGTCAGCATGTGGCCGTGTGGCAGGAGGAGCTGGTCCCTCTAGGAGCTATGGGCCCCAGCCACCACCCACTCATCTTCCCAGGCTGGGGGGTGCTTAGGAGGCCCTGCTCCCCTCCCTGGATGCCTGTCCCGGCAGTGCCTACCTGGGGTGCAGAAGGCTCTCCCATGGGTGGGCCAGGGAACTGCACCGCACTGGTTCCGGGAGACCTTGGGGATGTGTCTCTCTGTCCAGGGAGCTGCCGTGGCCTGAGCGGGGCCCCGGCGGGAAGAGGCTCCAGCAGCAGGCCTGGCAGTGCGAGTCCAGGCGGCACTCATCTGCCCACTCGGGTCCCAGGCCAGCGGCCGGGCACCGTCCACACTCCTGGAGGCCACTGGAGTTTTCTCCAGTGTGGAGAAAACTGGGCCATGGGAGGGAGGAGCGCACAAATGGCTCCGGGCCAGGATGGGACCAGGGATCCTTGTGTGAACGGCCCTCACTCCCCAAGGCGTGAGGATGCGGTGGCTCCTTTAGGGAAAAGATCCAGGTGTCTTCTCCTTAAAGGTGGTGTCCACAGCCAGGCAGAGCCACTTGGGCCCCTGTCCTGGAAGAGAGGGACTCCAGGAACAATGGCTTCCCCAGGCTCCTGGTGAATTCCTAACAAGCAAGTGAACTTACGAGTTTTAAAAAAATGAAGCCCTAAAAACAGCCTCAATTCACTAAGGTCGACCCTCTGCCTCAGCTCTCCCGGAGAGACGCGCTGCCCTCCTGCCTGACCCTGCAGGTGTTACTTCCACAACCTTGACCCGGGCATTAGCTGCCACCCTCCTCCCCGGGAGGCACACAGGAACCCCAGCAGCGGGCCTGCCAGGTGGCAACCGCGTGGCCACTCTGTAAGGAAACAATGTATTCAACCTAATCAGACCGTGGAAGTTGACAGTGTGGCACAGCCAAGTTCATACACGGATGAAAAATATGTGCATATTTTACTGTATTTAAACTTCATTAGAGGAAGCCATCTACAAAAACATAATGGACATTTATATTTGGCCTAAGACGAACAAGTATTTGTTCAAATGACCTGGGGTGGGAGAAATGGTATAAAAGGCTGAGTCAAAATCAAAATGTAAAAAGCAGAGGCCGCTCCACCTGCACCTGGGCAGGTTTCCCTGGCGCTCACTTTTCCTTGAACCTCGCGTGGGTGGATGGGGCAGGCTCCACCAGGGCGGCCTCTGGGGCAGCCCTGGGCCCACCTGCAAGGCTCCAGCTCCCCGTCCCCCCCCCACAGTAACAGCACAGTAACCAAATAGAGCCGACAGTAACAGCCCAGACCAGGCCTGCACAAAGGTTCTTCCAATAAGCGCGGCTAACACCGCTGCAGACCTTCCCCAGGACTCACGGCCCAAGTGCCTGAGCCAAGGGCGCACCTTCGGGACCGCGACTAGGGGGGGGCGCACACCGGGGCGCGCGGGGGAGGGGAGGACGCACCTTCGGGACCGTCATTGGGGGGCGCACACCGGGGCGCGCGGGGGAGGGGAGGACGCACCTTCGGGACCGTCATTGGGGGGCGCACACCGCAGCGCAGAAGGGAGGGGAGGACGCACTTTCGGGACCGCGACTGGGGGGCGCACACTGGGGCGTGGGGCGCAGGGCGCTGGCCGGCGCGGACGGCGGTGCGGCTCCCGCGGGTCAGGCCCTCGGAGCGCTGCCCCGGGGTGGCCCCGCCGCTCCTTCCGCGCTGCCGCCGCGCGCCACCGGGACCGCGCACCGAAGGGAGGAGGACTGAGGGGCCCCGCCGGGGACGGCTCTGCGGGCTACGCGCTCGCGGGGTGGAACGCGTCAGCGTTCGGCCGTGGACGGTGGGTCCCTCCCCACGCAGGGCGCCTTTGCGAGCCGCGGGAAGGGCGTGGCCGTGCTCGGCGGGGCGGAGCTGGGGGCGGGGCCCTGGCGGGGGCGGGGCCC